TTAAAAGTGATGATTTCAATGTGAAAGACAAAAAACGTCCAAGTCAACCAAAAAAGTTTGAAGACCAACAATTACAAGCATTATTGGATGAAGATGCATGTCAAACTCAAAAACAACTTGCAGAAAGATTAAACGCTGCTCAGTAAACAATTTCGATCATTTACAAACAATGGGAAAGATTTTAAAGGAAGGAAAATGGGTGCCAGCCACATCAACTGAACGAAAGACAAATAGAAAACCAAAAAGTCATCAGTAAAATGCTGCTTCAACGACATGAAAGAAAGTCCTTTTTGCATCGAATTATGACTGGCGATGAAAAGTGGATTTATTTTGAGAGCCCCAAACGCACAAAATCATGGATTGATCCAGGTTAAACATCAACATCGACTGCAAGACCAAATCGCTTCAGAAAGAAGACAATGGTCTGCATTTGGTGGGATCAGGAAAGAGTGGTGTATTATGAGCTTCTAAAACCAGGTGAAACCATTAATACTGATCGCTACCGACAACAAATAATCAATTTGAACCATGCTTTGATCGTGAAACGACCAGAATGTACCAGAAGACACGGCAAAGTAATTTTGCTTCATGATGATGCACCATCACACACTTCAAAACCAGTTAAAGACACATTAAAAGATCTTGCCTGGAAAGTATTAACCTACCCGCTATATTCACCAGACCTTTCTCCTTCAGATTACCACTTTTCCAATAGATGGCACACGCACTTTCTGAGCAGCACTTCAAAACATATGAAGAAGTGGAAAACTGGGTCTCTGAATGGTTTTCCTCAAAACAAAAGTTCTATTGGGACGGTACCCACAAATTACCTGAAAGATGAGGGAAATGTATAGCTAGCAATGAACATTACTTTGAATAAAGCACTTTGGATGTTTCTCTTGAAATTCTCATGTTTTCTTTGATTATAAAATCTACCATTATTAACTGGTACACCTAGTATTTATTTATTGGTTTTAAAATGATTTTATAACATATTTATTGAGATATAATTTACACACAATATAATTCACCCTTTTACTAGTAAAGTGTATAATTCAGTGGTTTTTTTAGTACAGAGTATAATACAACCAGCACCTGTAATTCCAGAACATTCCATCATTACAAGAGAAAACCCATAAGCAGTGACTCCCTTTACTGCTCCCCAAGCCCCTCAACTACTCACTCACTTTTGGTCTCTGTGGATTTGCCTGTTCTGGACATTTCACATGAATGGAATCACACACTGTGTGTCTTTTTCACCTGAGATGTCCTGATACCTTTTTAACTTATCACTTTAAAACCTCAAGGTCTATTAGAATAATACATGAAGGAGCATAAAGAAAGTTTTAGTGGCCTCTTACTCAGCAAAGGAGGCTAACCTTGAAGTAACACTATAACATAAAATAAAAATGGACATTGACTAAAATTCACAAAAGTAAATAGTAAAAGAAACCCCCATGTATCCATCAACCAGCTTCAACAATTACAATTTTGTCATCTAAATTCATGAACATTTGGAGTATTTTCAAGCAAATCCCAAGCACCAAAAATAAATTTATGGGGGCTGAGGAAGAGCAGGGGCTTGACTAGAAAAGAGTCCAAGAGAATTTTCTGGAACAATGGGTGAAATAATTGCTATCTTTATAAATCTATGGATTATATGGGTGCAAGCATTTATGGAAATACAGTTGTACACTTTAAGACTGGTGTATTTAAATTTTATGTTTAAAATGCGAAAATATATTGAACTCTAGTTAGTAGGGTTTCTTGCTTTTACAGTTCAAAATTCTAGAGCTAGAAGATTTCTCTCTGTTGAGAAGGGAGTCACTACTGTAGAGAGAAAGTGTGTGTGTGTGTATATGCACTAACACTAGACTACTGAATGTAGTTTAAGACTTCTGGGGTTTCTCTTTGCTACGAGAATATATCCCACCAAGGATGTTGAGTCAGAACTGTTTTAAAGTCACTTGAAATATTTATTCTCTATATGGTTTGTTTATTTCAATATTTTAAACATTTTTCTTTGTAATTTAATTTCTCAAAATTAAACACATGATTTCAAAGTCAAAACTAAAAAAGAAGGTACATTAGGGGATTATAGCTTCCATCCTGTTTCCTATCTACATCTCCTTGCTGTTTGTTTGCTTTCCTTAACTACTTTTATTTATTTCAGTTACTCTTCCATTGTTTCTTTTTCAAAGTGAAACCAGACACAATGGGTCCCAGGCCCCTGTCACTACTTGAGCCAAATTAGGCAGGGACTCAGACACATACGGGGAGAAACTGGATTGTCTGGCATCAGGGCAGGAACTCGGAGATGGCTTTCTCCCAGACGGGTAGCCGGCGGGGGCATAGGGGTCATTATTCCTGCTGGGACCTTTCCTGCTGCAGGGCTGACTGGCAGCCATATCTGAATCTCCATCAGCCTGCTTGCTTCACCCTGGGGATTCCGAGACCCCCACCCCATCCAATTTTCAGCCCCTTCCAAGCTCTTTGCAGCAGTTTTTCCATATGCATGGCCTGTCCTGCCTCAGGCTTCAGACTTTGCTAAAATAAACAAGCTGCAGCATGCCCCAAACCTATCAGTAAAAGGGCCCCTGACCCAGTACTAACACCAACCTGTCTTGCTTCACAGCTGGGCCTTGCCTGGGAACTTCCAATCTCAATACAAATAGCTGGCATCTGTAGATCTCTCAGTAGCTCCTGCCAGGTGGCCTCAGGTAGTGGCTGACTTTGCACCTCCTTGGAGGCCCTAGAGCCAGTGCACCCAGTAGACAGCTTCAGACCATAGCACATTACAACTCTGCACATCCACAAGTGACACACTCCAGAGGCAGACTCAGTGAGCACCAAAGCCCCACTGAAGCAGGTCCTGCTCCATAGGGGTATCTCCTGCACAGCTGCTCTTCCACTATAGTTGCAGCTGGTTCTCACAGCCAATTGGCCTAGAGGTCAATTCCTCCCAGTGATGCCAACAACAATCAAGGCTTAACTACAAGACTGTGCACACAGCCAACACAGGGGTGCACCTTGGAGAGCTCAGCTCAGGTGACTGTAGAGGCTGAGCCACTAGGCCCTACAGGACACAGACAAAGCAGTTCTACCTAATACATAGAAACAAACTCAGAGAAGCAGCCAAAATGCAGAGACAAAGAAATATGTCAGAAATGGAAGCAAGCAAAGTACTGGATACAGAGTTCAAAACCATGGTTACAAGGTTACTCCAGGATCTTAATGAGACTTTCAAGGATCTTAGTGAGAATGTCAAAGACATGCTAAAGTACTGAAATAAAAATAAGTTACAGGAATTCAACAGTAGAGTTGGGAATTCTGAGAATCAAACCAACAATCTGGAATAAGAGGAAGCAAAAAACACCCAATCAGAAGAGCAAAAAGAATCCAAAAATATGAAGATAGTGTAAGGAGCTTCTGGGACAACATCAAGCATACCAACATTCCCATTATGGGGGTGCCAGAAGGAGAAGAGAGACAAAGATATTGAAAACCCATTTGAAGAAATAATGACAGGAAACTTCTCCTACCTGGTGAAAAAAAAACAGACTTACAAGTCTGAAAAGCACAGCGAGTCCTAAACAAGAAGAACCCAATGAGGCCCACACCAAGACACATCATAATTACAAGGCCAAAGATTAAAGGCAAGGAGAGAATCTTAAAAGCAGCAAGAGGAAAGCAGTCAGTTACCTACAAGGGAGCACCAGTACTGTCAGCTGATTTCTCAACAGAAATTTTGAAGAAGGGAGTGGCAAGAAATATTCAAAGTGATGAATAGTAAGGATCTATCACCAATATTATGCTACCTAGCAAAGCTATTATTTAGAATTGAAGAAAAAGCTAAAGGAGTTCATCATCACCAAATCAAAATTTCATAAATTGTTGAAGGGTATTCTTTAAGAAGAGGAAGGGGAAGAGAAAGGAAGAGAAAAAGAAGGAGGAGGAGGAGGAGGAGGAGGAGGAGGAGGAGGAGGAGGAGGAGGAGGAGGAGGAGGAGGAGAAGGAGAAGGAGGAGGGGAGGGAGGAGGAGGAGGAGGAGGAAGGAAGGAAGAAGGAGGAGAGGAGAAGGTGGAAGAAAAGGAAAAGGAAGGAGGGAGGAGGAGAAAGAAGAAGGAGAAGGAGGAGGAGGAGGAGAAGAAGAAGAAGAGTTAAAAATTATGAACTGGCAACAAATACATATTATCAACAATTGAACCTAAAAATCAAAATAAAAGAACAAGAAATCTAATAAACAAAATAAACTGGTGAATAAAATAAAATCAGAGGCATGGGAGCAAGGAACAGACTGACAAATCTCAGAAGAGGGGAGGAGGAACAGGAAGAAATTAACCAAAGATCTTACCTCTGGACACAGACATTAGAGTGGTGAAGGACCAGAGCAGGGCAGGAACTGGGTGGAAGGGGGCAATAGGGAAAAAAAAGGGGAATATCTGTAATACTGTCAATAATTAAGATTCAAAAAAATAAAGAAAGAAAAAAAAGAATGTAGGAAAAGAGCTCAAGCATGTCTGTTATTGTAGACAATTATAATTGCATGAAGCCTATAACACTAAGAGGGTTAAATTGGCTCTGTGTGTGTTTTTTTTATTTATCTTTATTGTTACAAGTATTAAAGATATCCCACTCCCCATCCTCCACCCCCCAACTGAATCCCTCTACTCTGCTCCCATTCCATCCTCAGGCCTTCACTGCACTATTGTCTGTGTCCCTGGGCTATGTATACATCTATGTTAAGTTCTTTAAAACAAAGGTACCTGACCTCTAGTTTTTGTAGGCTCTGGTGCTCAGAGGGAATGAAGATCTTTGACTTTCTAAAACAATCCCCTTATAAAACTACTAAAAAGCTAAGTCTGGTTCTCTAATATGTGGTTAAGTTGTTTGGAAAGCTGAGGATAAGGACCTATTAGTTCTAACTTTCCTATATTTTACATGTGCTTATGTACTGATACAAATTTTTTAGGCTTTCCAAATGTTTTAAGTAAAGCAGCTATTTTTCAAACCTTTATTTGGGCAGACAGTTGATAACTAAAAAACAAATCAGAAAATAAAACAACAATGAAGCAATAAGTTACAAAATGAGAATGCCCACAAGCTACTTAACAATATGAATTCAGGGTAGAGTGATGGATACAAAAGGCTATACTTCCTGAGCATTCCAACATGGAAAATTAAAAACCTCTTTAGTAAATCTTCTCACTGACGGAGCTGAAAAGTAGGAGGAGCGCTTGGGGAGAGGAAAAGAAAAGAGATGAGAACCAAAAAATCAACAAACATCCATTAATACTGATGCCTTTTAGTCTGTGCCTTTGTAGAGAACTTTCAAATAATTATAAACTTATAGTAAACGTTTCTGTCTGATTAAATAAAACCTCAATAGTGTTTATTGTGGTCGAATCAGAATTAAAACAAAATTACCATATGCCAGCACATATAATCATCGCTCTGGTGGCTGGAAAACTGGCTCGAGAGCATAGAGGGGACATGTTGATGAGGGAAGGCCGTGCTTGGAGAAAGCTGGGTCTTTTTGATCACCTTTACTCCACTTTTACTTCATCACCATTCTCCTGTCTGAGCTTGAACACGGGAATCTGCTGACCATCCTTGAGCTCTAAGAAGACCTCCTGAAGGTGCCACCTGATAGAAACCAAAAGTAATCCAGAAAACACTGGCAAATGACATGGTCAAACGGTCAAAAGGGGGGAAAAAACAGGTGTTTGGAATATTGTCTTAAATTTTGTAAACACTAATTCATGTTATAACGAGGTGAACATAACATTTTCACATTTTATTTATTTTTAAAGAATAGTTTATTGATTTTTCAAGCGAGAGGGAGGGAGGGAAAGAAGATGGGAGAGCAGGAGGGGAGAGAGAGAGAAAATCAATTAGCTGCCTCCTGCACACCCCATACCCAGGGATCAAGCTGCAACCAGGGCATGTGCCCTTGACCAGGAATCTAACCAGCAACCTCCTGCACCAGAATGATGGTTAGGGTGAGCCGCACTGGCTAGGGCTTATGTTTGATTATAGGTTCTCATTATTTAACCAGCATCATTTCAAGGCAAGTTACCAATGAATGACTGATGGGTAAACTGAAGGGGCCTGGAGAAAAAGGAGCACCTTACTCCCCATTTCCTCATTCACTTGGGCCTTCAATTCTGGCTGGAACCTGGCCAGCTCCTCCACTAATCCCAGACTTTGGAGTCAATGTGCTCATGAGAGGGAGGCATGAGGGGGCAGCCTAACGGTGGCCTGCTCATTTTGTGTTGGGGAATTAAAACACATCCTGGCTAAACAGCCAACACCTCTGAGAGAGCTTCCCTGAGGAACTGAGTGAATACAGCTTTTGGCAACCAGACAAGTAAAGCCAATTAATGGTATGCAAACTTATATAAAGAATGTGTTGAATGATTTTGGAATAGGAAGCCATGTCTTTATTTATATGTAATGATTGAGGCAGTAGTGTTAGAAGTGTAAAATTATTGTAGACCTACACTATAACTGTCAAGTTCTTCATATTCAGCAGAATAAGTAGACAATTTGGTGGACTGCACTGGATAAAATGTCTGGACTAAGAGCCAAAGCACCAGGTTGCTGTCCTGGCTGTAAAACTTTTCAAGCTTTGAAAAAGTAATTCCTATTACCACAATTACATAACTACAAATGAAAATGGGAATCAGGATTGTTCCCATCAGGAGGTCCCCTTCCTCCATACCCACCCACTTTCCCATAATACCTTTTAAAGGGGGCCTCCCTGGAGGAGATGACATAGAGATGGCCTGCCGACTTGGATCCAGAGACAGGAATCTTCAACTACAAGTGTAAAATGAGAGATATAATTGGATATGTCGCTGTCCTCTCAAGAGATGAAAAAATGATAGAGCTAATCCTATAAGAACCAGTGCTTATCTGCAGAATCTGGCTATTTTCTAACTTCAGCCTTCCTGGAGGATCCACCTGGGTTTTCTATCTGGCCCCTCCAAATGTCCTGCCCCTCTTTGGATGGTTTGGTGAGGTCAAAGGCAGCCCCCTCTTATTTAGCAAGGAGACCTTATATGCCAAACTCAATACTCTGAGTACTTGCAGTGATTACTTAAAAATCCAGTTAGAAAAGAACTACTGATACATGCAACAATATGGGTGAGTATCAACAACATGCTGAGTGAAAAGGGCCTCACCCAACAGGAATTGCATACTCTAGAACAGGCTGAAGTACACGGGGGGGTGGGGGGGGGGGATATCAGAGAAGTGACTGCCTCCGCTCGGGCTGGCGGATGTGAGAGGGGACCAACTGGAAACAGCATGAGTGAACTATCAGGTGCTGGGAACAGTCCACATCTAGAAAGGGGCTTGAAGGGTACTTGTTAAAATTCATCAAATAAGACACTTAAATTGTACTTTTCACAGACTGTAAATTTTACCTAAAAAAGAAAGAGCCATACACAAATATTAAACTCTAGTTAATGATATACATTCTTATGTATTTAAAGATCAAGTATGTGGATGTTTTAAAATAGTAAGGTGTTCATGGACAAACCTTATTACGGCTAGATGAATAGGTATGGGATAAAGCAAGTAGAGCAAAACACTATTTGTAGAATCCAGGTAGCTACTATGTGGGTTCCGCAGCATACATTCTTTTATTTTTTTCTGTATGTTTAAAACTTTTCACAATAAAGTAGAAGGGGAAAAAAAGTCCACTGTTTAAAAGGGGAAACTATTACCAGCAAATTGGTACACATTTTAACCTGGGCCGTAAAGAACAGATCTTAAGAAAAATGTAAAGGCTCATTTGGGAAAGACAAGGAAATCTTGGTTAGCTCATCCTCACCAGTCACCCACCACAGGCTGGGCTCACCCCACATGGCCAGGTGCTGCCCGGATGCTGCCATGCCCCGAGCCTAGGGAGTCAGCCTGGGAACCTCAGAGTGAGCTGGTAGGTGTTTACTAATATGCTACTATTTAAAAAATATTGAATGTAATCTTTTGTTTCTCAATGAAAACTAAACACAATTTGAGCCAAGTGAAGGGGACACAATGTTGTAACAAGGAAACCCTCACAAGGCGCCTCCCAGGGTGCCTTCCTGTGCCCCAGGTGATAGGCAAAGGTACTTTCATGGGCTGAGAGATGGTGTATCTTAACCACAGCAAACTGTCACCGAGAGAAAGAGGGCTTGGGTACACATATTAGTGTTTTCCAAAATCCTCTTTCATTTATTTAAATACACTTTAAAGACACAGACTTTGGAATGGTGCCTTCACACCCAAGTCACACTAAAGTGATTCTTCAGAGTTCTACTTTTGGAATCAAGCCACAGCTCTTCTCAAGGGGTTATACAATTAAGCAATAGAGCATACATTGAGCATCTCTGCATGCCATAAGAAAAACAAAAAAAGGGATGCATGTGTGGTAAAAGGGCAGAAGTAGGATTTTGAAGAACAGCAGAGGGGTTCCCCCCCAAGTATATGTGTGAAATCGTCTCTAACTACCAACACGTTGGCTTATCAGACCTCCTACTTTACTCTTGGCAAAGTCTGGGCAGTGAAGAACCTAGTCCGTAAAGCACCTCATCACCCACAGAGGCACAACTGCAAGCCCAACTGTGGGGAAACCCTTCAATATGACAGCTCCTTATGAAAAACTGAAACTTCTCACCTCTGAACGAAATAAAGAAACTCCAAGTAGGGATTTGGGGATAAGATGCCCTGTGTTATATAGAGGCAACCTAATAAATAGCCGATTGTAAAGGAAGTGAAGAACCCTGACAAGATGTCACACATACTGTACAAACTGGAAGAGCAAAGGCTGGGTCGAGAGGAGGCTCTGAGGAGCAGGCCTTGAACTCCTGTCACTGTGCTCTCACAGGGTTCAGCAGCAGCAGAGGCCAGCGCCCGGCACCACAGCCAACACCGTCACACAGCCACCGAGGGCCTGGGCTGCGGGCGGGAAGAGCCTCTCAGCAGCAGCCAGATGTGCTAGAAGACTGGGCCAAAGGAAGAGCTGGGCCTGGCCAGCTTTCAGAGAAGGTTCCCGCTAAAACTACCTTGGCGTCCCAGTCACTGGATCACCAGAGCAGAGAGCTGATGCTGCATCAACCTGCCTTCAGCAAAGGTGCTTGCAGACTTCTTGAGCATCGCAGCCACGCCCTGTGTTCTGAGCTGGGAGACACCCTGAATAGCCAGACCCAATCTGTGGCCATTCAGAGTCCTTGTGCTTGCAGGGATCCAGCCAAGTGAACAGAGATGGTGAAACACAGAGGAGCCACACCACATGGTGTGAGGAAGTTGAAGACAATGAAAATAAGGCTAGCAGGCACAGAGCAGGCACTCAATACACGTCCACTCTCTTCCCTTTTCTCCTTGGGGTTCCCTCTCTCACTTAATGGCACCACTGTCTTTCCACTCATCCATGCTAGACATTAGAGCATCATCTCTGACACACCTCTCTCCTGCTACAAAACTGTTACCTAGTCCTATCACCTGGTAACCACCACCCCTTTCATATCCAGCTCTCATTCCTCTAGCCCAGTGGTCGGCAAACTGCAGCTCACGAGACACATGCGGCTCTTTGGCCCCTTCAGTGTGGCTCTTCCACAAAATACCACATGCGGGTGCGCACATACAGTGCGAGTGAAATTTCGTGGCCCATGTGCAGAAGTCGGTATTTTGTGGAAGAGCCACACTCAAGGGGCCAAAGAGCCGCATGTGGCTCGCAAGCCGCAGTTTGCCCACCACTGCTCTAGCCCACAGCTCTGAATCATGCCCGCACCACTGTACACCCAGGTGGCCACAATGCTCTCTAAAGGCTCCCAGCCCCTGGGTATTCCCAATCTGAATGAATTCACCTTGCTTTAAAACCAGACCAAATATTTATCAGAATCCTTGAGCACAAATTGCTACTATAGTTAAGAAAGAAAATAAAACTATTTCCATGAAAAATAATAATAAAAATAACAAAAAAATAAACTAGGTCAAAGCGTCACACCCTTATTTTCAAAATACTTCAGAGCTCCTGCTGGCCACAGAATCAAGTGTGTGCACCTCACATGGTGAGGTTGCAGCCTTCTAGTTGCCCCCAGTCCACTAACCACTCCACTCACGGCCTTCACTCTAGTATTTGTTTCACCCTGTCTTATTCTGGAATTTTAAACTATAAACTCCCAGAAAGCCTTCTGCATTTCTGTATTCCCCACACAACTTAGAACCACTTTTCTAGCTCAGAATGTACTCAACACATATTTGTTAAACAGGAGGACAAATGCATTTTATATTTGGCTGAGGTTTAATAGCTAAACTATGAAAGAAGACAAAATATAACTAGAAAAAATAGACTGGAATTCCAGACAATCAATGTAAATAAATAAGCTTCAAAACTAAAATTTAAAGAAGTTGTTTACATTTGAATAAGAGTTAACTGGCTGTAGATATATTTCAAGTTCGAAGCTGAAATACGTAGTGGCAAACTACCACTGGTCATTTCTCTACCAGTTCAAAATGGCACTTGAGCACAAACACTGCATTCCCTGCCACATCAATTGTCCTAAAAAGAAGAAAAATGCACGAGAATAAATTAATCCCCAATTTTTTTTGGAAGGTCCCAAGTAGTACCTCTCCCAAATCCTTACTCCTGCTGCCTCTCGGATTAGGGCGGCCCCTCCTGTCCTTCAGTAGGCACCTAGCCTTGTTTGCTGGGGAGCACGTTACCTTGGCATCAGCAATGTCCACAAAGTTGTACTTGTCCATGAGCTGAAGATGGTGAGTGTTGAGAGGAGGGCCCAGAGCTTCCAGGGCCTCAGGGTGGCTATGCAGCTGCTCCAGTGCCAACTGGTAATAGGAAGCCCTGGAAAAAGCTTCTAAATAGAAAAGACAGTTGTTACATTTTTGTCGTCTTTATTGAACTTTATTGAACTTGGCAGACTCTGTAGAAAGTTAAATGATACAATTTATGTACAACATGGAAACAGATACAATTATGAAATTTATAGATGGGAGAATTAGGGAAAATCTATTCTAAACTGTCCATTTTAGAGACTCCAAAATCAAAGTCAGGATCTGTGGGGATGTGGCAGACGATGCTGGGCTAAGGACTTAACCTTTCTGTGCCTCACTTTCTTCATCTCTCATTTCCTGACCTCATTTCTTCATCTGGCAGCGGTTCTCAACCTGTGGGTCGCGAACAATGAAAATACATCCTGCATATCAGATATTTACATTACGATTCATAACAGTAGCAAAATTACAGTTATGAAGTAGCAACGAAAATAATTTTACGGTTGGGGGTCACAACATGAGGAACTGTATTTCAAGGGCCGCAGCATTAGGAAGGTTGAGAACCACTGAAGGGGTTTGATCAGATCTTCTCTCAAGCTCCTTTTGGTCCTGAACCATTAATTTTCTCAAAGAGACACAGCTGGTTCAAGTTAGAGCTGGGGCCAGAATCTATGACTGAACTTCCACTAAGATGAAGGTCAGGATAAACCAGCATAAACTAGATCATAAAACATCATTAACAACAAAACCCTCAGGCCAAGATTACAGAACATTAAAATGCTATTTTTTTCAAGTTTACAGATTTATGCTGACATTTCATGTAGAGAAGTTATAACCTGCTCTGTCTCAGGTACCCTTCTGGGCCCAAAGTTTTTGAGGAACTACACGAAGCACCTCCCTACAATTGCATGGTACTAGGGAGAGAGCCTCCTGGTCAACTGAAAGAATGGTGGCAGACACTGTGCTTTGTTCGGCTATCTGTTGGTGATTCTAACATCCTGGCAAAAAGCAAAACTGCTGTAGAGTGCGGGTGAAGAGCCACGCTGAGAGGGCACAGAGGAGCTTCGAAGAAAATCATTCTGAAAAGAAAAAAAGCTGCTGCTTCACAACCAGTAGCAGTTAAATGACCATAACTGTCTTGGTCTCAGTAACTATGGCTTGTCTGTACAATTCACACTTGAATGCAGTGGAGCTGGAAGCCACACTGCAAGATTTTGCCAGCCTGGACTCTACTTTTACTTCCTGCTCTCACCAGAGTCCCTGCTCAAGGTCCCTCCTCCACTGAACCAACATCAAAGAATGGCAGGGCCAACAGGCTGAGCATACTTGAGAAATAGAGCCCGTTTTCCCCACCTGTGAACCATCTGGTACCTCTCTTTACATAATCTCAACCATCTTGGACCTCCTGTGTACGCTCTGGAGTGAACGCCCATCTTGCTTTTTGCAAGGCTTCTTATGGAGAGAAATCGGGGTGTTTTTGTTAGTATAGGTAGCTAGATATTAATAAAGGAAGGGAGCAAAGGGAACCAGACATTAAGAAGCCTAGCAAACTGGGAAGCTGAATCCAATATTGAGCCTGCTTAACTGGAAAGCTATAGCCCCTATTCGCCTATGCCTTGGCCCCGCCACCCTGGCTTTGTCCGGAAGAACATCTGGAATGATGTCTAGAAGATGGCCGGTCTAATTAGCATATTACCCTTTTATTAGTATAGATATGCCTGTGGGATTGGGCCTAAACCAGCAGTTGGACATCCCTCTCGCAATCTGGAATTGCTGGCTCCTAACCGCTCACCTGCCTGCCTGCCTGCCTGATTGCCCCTAACTGCCCTCTCCTGCCGGCCTGGTCACCTCTAACTGCTCTCCCCTGCCAGCCTGTTCACCCCTATCCGCCTCTGCCTCGGGCCTGCCACCCTAGCTTTATCCGGAAGGACTTTCGGAAGATGTCTGGTCTAATTAGCATATTACCCTTTTATTAGTATAGATTTTGTCAAATATGAGTATTGCTACCCCAGCTTTTTTTTTTTTCCATTTGCCTGAAAAAATGTTGCATCCCTTCACTCTCATCCTGTGTGAGTCATTAGTTCTGAGGTGGGTCTCTTGTAGACAGCATATAATTGGGTCATGTTTGTATATCCATTCAGCTAACCTACTAGTATATCTTTTGATTGGACACTTACACTTAAAGTTATTATTGATAGGTAATTATTTATTGCCATTTTAATTCTTTATGCCTATGTTTCTCTCCCTATATATTTTTTCTCATTACAGCAGGCCCTTTAGCATTTCTTGCAGTGCTGGTTTTGGTGGTGATAAACTCCTTTAGCTTTTTTTTTTCTGGGAAGTTTTTTATATTACCATCTATTTTGAATGATGGCCTTGCTGAATATAAAAATCTTGGTTTCAGATCCTTGGTTTTTATTACTTTGAATAGTTCATGCCATTCCCTACTGGCCTGTAGTTTCTGATGAGAAATCAGGTGTCTGTCTTAGGGGAGCTCCTTTGTAAGTAACAAATTGCTTTTCTCTTTCTGCCTTTAGAATTTTCTCTTTGTCTTTAATTTTTGGAATTTTCATTATGATGTGTCTGGGCATGGGCCTGTTTGGGTCCTTCTTGTTTGGGACTCTGCCTCCTGGATTTGTGTGACTTTTTTCTTCACCATGTTAGGGAAGTTTTCTGCCATTATTTCTTCAAATAAGTTCTCTACCTCTTGCTCACTTTCTTCTCCTTCTGACACTCCTATTATGTGAATTTGTTATGTTTCATGGTATCCCCGCTCCCTTAAGCTGTCCACCTGTTTTTTCCTTGTTTTTTCTTTTTGGTTCTCTGATTGATTTTTTTCTCCCATGTTCTAATTCACTGATCCCATCATAGGCTTCCCCTAACCCACCGCTTATTCCTTCCACTATGTGCTTTCTTAGTGCTATGTCATTCTTTATAGTTACTATATATTTTATCATGCTGTTGAGCATCTTTGCCATTATTATTCTAAACTCTATGTCTGATAAATTTCTATCTCCATTTCATTTACCTCTTCTTCTGGAGATTCTCTTGTTATTTCATTTGGGCCTTGTATTTTTGTCTCCCCATTTTGACTGCCTGTTTGGGTTTGTGTCTCTGTATTAGTGATCTGGTATGAGTCCCAATCACTAGTGCAGGACAATGTCAGATGCTGCTACTGTACCTGAGTATTCTGTTTGGAGCTATCAGGTATCAACAGCTGGTGGCTACCTCTATTGGGCTGGATGCCTTTGGAAAGGACCAAGATGTGCACCAGGGTCTGCTTTTCCTAGCCCTGGATTAGAACAGGCAAAGACCCAAAGCCTGCAGAGACCCACCACTGCCTGCAGTCCCAATGACACTTAGTTTTGATTAGCCTCAGGCTATATACCACAGGGTAGGGCAATAGGTCTTCCAACAGGGTGGGGCAACTGCTGCCTTCCTCCAAGGCAAAAACTTCCTGAATAGCAAAGGTTAACCGGAGAAAGATTCCTCTCCAGTGTGAGGGAATGACTGACCAAAGAAAACCAGGGTGGCTACACTCCAAGCTCCAACCCCAGAGGTCCCAAACCTGGCTTCTGCTCACACAGCTTCAGTCCACTCTGCCCTCCCTCTGCCAGAGCTCAAGTTGAGTGGCTACACATGAAATTTTGTGGGTTGGCCCTTTAAGAGGTACCTGCATTTCCAGTCTTCTCTCCCTGGCAGAAATAAGCCCTGCTTCTTTTCACAACCAGATGTTATGTGCACACCTTTCTCAGTTCTGATGCGCTGGCTGGGGAGCCCAACTGGTTTAGACCCCAGAGTTCTCAGTGGGAACCCTCTATAGCTGAGATATCCATCAGGAACTTCAGCTGCTGTCTGTGGGAGCCTGGCCAGCCCTTTCATGCCTCCACACTTCCTACCAGTCTCTATGCAGTCTCCACTTTCCATCCTTAGTTGTCAGGGTTCTCTCCAGTTAGTCTTCATTGACTTTTCAGAGTGGTTTTTCTATACTTTAGTTGTATTTCCAGTTTGTTCCTGGCAGAGTATCAGTGTAGCTTCCACTTACTCTATCACCATTTTGGAATCTCTCCCTCTCTTTTTTTTTTAATTCTCACCCAAGGATACGTTTGTTGGTTGTAGAGAGAGGAAGTGAGAGAGAAACATTGATTGTATGCCTCCCGTATGTGCTCCAACTGGGAATCAAACTTGAAACCTATGCCCTTACCAGGAATCAAACCTGTAACTTTTTGGTGTATGGGATAACATTCCAACCAACTGAGCTATCTGGACAGGACTAGAAATCTTTTCTGCTGGCAGTCTTACAGACTCAGAAATTGACTTATGATTAGCAGTGTTCATTAACCGCTGTATTTTTTTTCTTCCTTCTGTTTTCATAGCTTATGTGTCTATGACATTACTTACCAAATGGTTTGTTTACACAGTATGGGTCTCACTTTGAAAGCCCATCTCATCACCACATCTGAAAATGAGACTCAGGTTTGGCTGTATTGACTTATTGTCAGGACTAAATTGTTGTGTCAGTGAAGAATAAAGCAGTCTATCAGATTCACTTGAAACTGCTTTCCCTTTTCTGCCCAAGTTGTACAGACAGGAAAGGCTGCTTCAGAAGGGAAATCTTAGAATGTTCCCTTTAGCCTAATTTCAATTTAAGTATGATAAACAAGAGAGATTCAAACGTGAGTCACACCTTTCTCCAGGGAAGCTCCTCCTCCAATTTAATTTGGAACACTCCTTCTATCATCTGGTTCTTACCACTCACCACCCCTTTAGTTGCTATATTTCTCCTCATTTTTGAACTAAGCCTTTTTAACCTTTTTGTCAAATTTGTCACCTCTAGAATAGAATGCCAGCCTGTCCAAAAACACCATCCCCTAGATATAACATCTGCCACCTCCCAAGGACAGCCACAGCCTAACCTGAACTTTATAATAACCCCTTTTCCCTGTGTGTGGTCTCCCCCTTTTTGCTCCTTTCTTTCTCTGGCAGATAGGAAGAATCTCTGGGTCTGTGGACCGGCAGCACTATGCTCTCTGACAACAAGAAGATGTTATAAAGATGAGATCTCCATCCATTTATTACCCTTATAAAGTTATAAGGACCAAGGTTCTTCAGGGGGGGATATGTTAGTGTAAGTAGCAAGATATTAATAAAAGAAGAGAACAAAGGGAATTAGACATTATGAAGCCTAATAAACTGATAAGTTGAATCCAATGTTGGGCCTGCTTCACTAGAAAGCTATAGCTTCACACATTCCCCAGGGAATAATCGATCCATTCCCTCTGGATTACTAGAGGTGGGACAGAACAATAAAGAAGAAATTCCTCTGCTGGACGCATGCCTAGCAGAAGCCAAGACTGTACAGGGGGAGGTGATTCTACTATGAGGCATGCACAGAAGGACTAAGATTGAAACCATAAAGACCTGTCTTTCTAGCCTGGAAAGAGGATCAGATTGGATAAGGGACACAGCCCCTACAAAAAAATCTAGAAAATGGATTGGTTAGGGAGATGAAACCAGCAGAAGCAAAAGACTGGGAAAGTTCATTGGTTATTTTTTTTTTTAATATATATTTTATTGATTTTTTACAGAGAGGAAGGGAGAGGGATAGAGAGTTAGAAACATCGATGAGAGAGAAACATCGATCAGCTGCCTCCTGAACACTCCCCACTGGGGATGTGCCCGCAACCAAGGTACATGCCCTTGACCGGAATTGAACCTGGGACCCTTGAGTCTGCAGGCCGATGCTCTATCCACTGAGTCAAACCAGTTAGGGCTCATTGGTTATTTTAAAAGGGTTTCTTGTCCTTCCCAAGCCCGAGATAATACAACCCAAGCTTATTTAACAAATCTCTTGCACTCTCTCTCTTGCTTGGTAACACACACCCCATTTGTTTGGCATTCTCTCCATAGCAGCCATGCAGCCAGCAGTTGTGCAGACTCCAACCACTGGCATCATCAGCCAGAGAGCATCCGAGAACAACCTACACTAGCTGGATGAGGACAGATATGGCCGAAACTGGACTAAGCTTCGACATGGGACAGAACTTTTGGATACGGGACTTTTTACTGGGGTTAATGAAGACAAGGCTAAACATTTTCATGGAGATGGACAGAGATGAGACACTGGGAACCTGAGGGTTGCCTTGTATTTCTACCCAAATAAATCTTACCACCAGGCCTCATACTCCTACATGGGTTCATGGAAATGCTATTCTCGTGCAAGGACCCATTTCCACCAGCAACACTTTTATTTGCACTTGTGGCTCCTAAAAAACTGAGATTATAGGATAAGAAGTAGGCCACAGGAATGGAATGGTGTACTGGTTTCTAAAAACAGTTCTAATCTGCAGAGAGCTTGTGAAGTATTTCCTATGATTGAGGAACAGGGGAAGAGAACTAGGAAGAGGCCATGCCTCAGGCAGTTTGCTGGATACTTACTTTGTGTAAGGTAATACACAAGGGCACAGCCCCCACTAGTCATCACACTGGTATAAAGGATCACTTTTCCCAGAGGCACTTGTGGCATCCTGCTTCCTAGAGCCTAAAAAAAAAAGATTAAAATTTATTGTTACACTCAGGTTTGCGTGAAGGGCTTTGTTGGTCTAGATTGGGCCCAAAAGGAAAGAAAAGCAAGGAGGAAGCCTACAAGGAGACAAGGCCATCTTTCCCCCTTTGCTTCCAGTCAGAATGCCAGGGCTGGTTCTGGAGCCAAAGCAAGTGTCCTTCTGAGGGTGGCCCCAATCCAGGACCCATGCTATGGGGGTAGTGGCTGAGCACAGAGCAAGCATTAGCCCTGCTGTCTTGACAGACAGAACCCCAACTTGTGTGACAAATGTTGCCTGGCCAAAAATCATAGCTACTTTGTGTCATGCTGGCTCCTTTTGTGGCAATAGCTGATCGTATAAGCCATTGAATGGGTAGCCACTGACTGCTTTTCTTTCATATCAGGAAAAATGTCCTTCCCTGGGGATGAGGAAGCTGTGGGCATGACTTTCAGGCTGAATGAACAGACAGAGAAGAGTCAACTCAGCCAATTCAGAGTACCATATCCAACCCTTGCATAACTCCTGTCCCCTGAAGGTCTGGGTCGGCTAAGAGCAACATGTAGGCCTGATGCGGCCAAACCTCCTCCTTCTCGGAGACCATTCAACCTGACTCAAAGCTGTGAAATACTCAACCATAAAACAAAGCAGTATATGGGTTTACATCAGGGCTTATCATTCAAAAGCCCAAATGGCTAGAAAAACTCACACAAATGAGAGCAGTCATGTGGGCCAAGTCTGAATGAGTCTTCCAATTTTTCAAATGGTTTTTCCTGTGAAATTGCCTAAATTCTAAAATTTTGTAACCAATTAAAAAAAACTAACAAAATACATCTGTGATTCAGATTCTTTCTGCGGGCTTCTAGTTTGCTGTGACTGCTCAAGCAGCATGAGGACATCCTTACCCTAGGTGAGAAAAATTCATCTTTGTCTTGGCTGACATTTCTCAAAAGAGAGAGAGAGAGAGAGAGAGAGAGAGAGAGAGAGAGAGAGAGAGAGAGAGGGAGAGAGAGATTGATTGATTTGAGCTGACATGGAAATTCCAAGTTTAGGTAAAGGAAAAAATGACCATAAGCATTTATGTCCTGAACACTTAACCTTAGATTTTATGAGCTTCTTTAGAAAACAAAGCCTTTATGTAGCCTAATGGAGTGGGAGGCATTACAGTGTAGAACTGGGTATAATGCTGAATCTGTGAGTTAAGGTAAACACATTCTTACTGTCTGCTTCTCTGACTTCTAGAATATGGAGAGTAATAAAAACTGTCTACTTATTATTTCCAGAAATGTGACAGTAAATGAATGCATAAGAAGGCCTGTTGGAAAAGAATATCCTCGTGTGAATATTCTTTCTGGAAACCTACAATTAAACAGACCCTTAAGTAGTCTTAAAATTGACTAGTTTCATACAGAAATAACCTTGAATCCAGGTTTATGTATATAAAGAATTTTGATCAACTTATAAAATGAGGCAAGGTAAAGTTTTCGCTTATCCATGTATTATATAGTTTTGTTTAACTAAAAAAAGGCAGCTGAAACTCAAATGTACAAAAACTGCTGTAAGAGTTTCAGCTGGTGCAATGTAGCATGCAAGAATATTTATCAAAGTTTAATGTAAAGTCAATAAAGTAATGTAATCTGGAAATAAACATTTAGTCTAATAATGAAAATGGTCAGAACATCTCCAACGAATGCATTAGTCAGACCTTGCCTAATTTGAAAGCGCCCTCAACAGAGTAGGACAATGAGCAAGAGCTCTGCAGAGTTCCTCACCAGATTGTAGTTCCTAAAGTTAGCAGGAGGCATGGAATAAAGGACATCCTGGAACACTGCAGAGAACAGCCACCCTATCCTTCATGTGCAGTTACAACCACAAGTGAAAATGAATGACCAGGAGAAACCCACAGCTATTCAGGCAGCAATTTTCATCTACTGTCTAACTTCAGGGTATCCTGGAGGATTCTAGTGGGGAACCTGGCCAGGAACATTCATTACCTTTTGCCACTGTGTAACACGGTTTTCTTGAAAATCATCAAAGGAAATTTGCCCTGCAATTAGAAAATGATTTTACATTAAAATCACTTTTTCAAACCCAATTCTCTCTGGTGTCTAATTTTATAGAGCCAAGATTTATTACCAATCCAAGCCTTAGAACGTGAACATGAAGTTAAGTTTAACCTCTAAAACAAGCCTTGTCTATAAAGGGCCCTAGTTTTCCTCTTTCTCTTCTACCCTTAAGGAAGAAAATCCAAAGCCAGCCACCAGAAGACTAATGTGGGCAGGGGAGGGCGCACTGAAGTGGCAGTGGGCGTGTGACCTCAGTGCACACAATCATGGGCCTGTGAGCAGCCCACCGAAACAAGATGCTATCAATATAAGCTGTACACCATGGATTAAAAACAGCTTTTCAGGGTTAAAAAGAAATAAATATATACATAGCCTTTAATAATATTGATAATAACAGTGAATATTTGTATCTCTTACTATTAGGAGCCTGGTATTATTGTAAGCACTGTACATATAATCATTTAATTCTCATAACGATCCCACGAAGTAGGAACCATTGTTATCATCTCCAGAGAGGTTAAAGTAACATACCTCACGTCACACAAATAAGTGTGTAAGTGGTAGAACTGGGATTCAGACCCAGGTGGTCTATCTCCAGGGACTGTGCTTTCAACCATGATATACTGACTTTAAGATACCCATTGATTTCAGAAATACTGAAATGTCAAAAAAAATCATGTGTCTCTGAATTACAATATATTCATGCAAAAGCCTTGTCAGGTATGCCCTCCCTGCTATTTTTCCGGACAAGAATGTGGCATGTATATGTACCTTTATTCTTTCTTTTGCTTTTGGTTGTTGCGGGCTTTCAAACAGTGAGGAGGGGAATCCAGATAATTCACTATAATTATAATACAACCATGAGATACATCTGTGCAACTGGGCATGTCACAACCCTACCAGGGTGCCACGGACAGGGTAACAAGTTAGACTCATATACAAATGGGGCAAAAAGTACGTTTACAGTCGTGAGTAGGGGCAACACAGAGTTTACGCTTGTATTATTACTTATTAATGTATTATTTTCCATATGAACAACTGTAAGCCTACTTTTGCCCCGCCCTGTATTTATTAAGATGGTTTTCTAACAATTGGAAGTTCTCTGAAGTGTCTTGAAGAAGCTGTGGGTGCCTTTTTCTAATTTGCACAAAGGTGCCTAGAGGCGAGCAGAAGCCTGGTCAGTGTGACCAGAGGGTGTACCAGGGGAGGAAGCAACACCAAGGACGTGGTCAGCCCTGTCTGGAGATCAGCAAAGGAAACTGACTCCGAGTAAGAAAAAGGTGAAGGAGTGGGAGAAGGGCTTCAGATCCGTAAAAACAGCAAGCAAAGGCCGCGGCAGAAACAAGAGCTGCGGCACTGTGGAGAGCTGGTGGGGAGCCACAGGAAGTGGGCCTGCAAATGGAGGCGTCACTGCCATGAATGGCCGTCTATGCTGCTGGACTCCACTGTGTATTATTCTGTATTGTATTACTCCTGGCATTGGGCTCTGTCTTACCAGCTGAGTCTATCAAAGTGAATTATTTGCTCTACACTACCCCGCCAAATTGCCAAAACCATGGTTCATCTTAATATGCTAGAAGCAGGCACATAGGCAGGTGAACTGAAGTGTTACCACTGTTAGCTAATTACTAAAAGAAAGAGAGCAAAGGGAAGGCCAAACATTGTTACCCACAATCAGCTGGGAAGCAAAGGCCTGTTTGCTTCATCGGGAAGCTACAGCTTCACACCCCAAGAAATTGTGGCATTGTTCCTCCAAGGGGATTAACACCCCTCCCTTCCCCAGTCCTGTACTGGATTGTGTGTATGGGAGAGGGGGACAGGAGATTAAGACATACTCAGTAAGTCAAAATGGCTGAGGGGGAGGTGCTGGATCATGGAGGCTTGTCGGTCTAACCTGGGAAAAAGATAATTGGTTAGGGGGTGGACCCCAATGCAAGCCTACGAAATCTTGGGAAGATATTTGGTTATTTTGAAAGGCTTCTGGTTAAAACCCAGGAGAACAAAGCTCTCGCTCTCTAGCTCCAGACCTGTGCTCACCCATGCTCACCCCACCCAAGCGCTCTCCATAGCCATATGGCCTTAGCAGCCGCATGGCCAATGCCTCAAGCAGGCTCCAAGCAGGAGCCTGGGTACAGCAGCAAAGCAACAAACTGCAGCTGGGAACACAAGTTAAACTCACCAAACGCAGGACTGGGACTAAGCTTTAATATGGCACAGAATCTCTGGACATTGACTCTACGGTACATACAGAACTTGAAAAATCAGAGCAAGGTTAACAGTACTAAACAGAGTAACATGTTGTAACTGCTAATTTATAGATTTATTTTACTCCCAAACTTGTTGTCTGCTCATAGGATCTATATGAAATATAATATGCACATAACCTTAATACTCGTTCTATTTATAACTCACTATTAGCAACAGGAAGAACATATAAACATATATATAACAACAGCTAGAAGTAAGTCTGATGCTTAGATCATAATTTTTTTCTTAAATGCTCCTGTCTTAGTTCCCAGAAATGTGCACCTCTACATTCTATTCAGTGTGTCTGCATGGCTGCTTTTGCTTTCCATTGGATGTCAGTGGAGCTCTTAGAACCAATGGCATCCCAAAATATTAACTGCTGAGGTTTAATACTTAAGAAAAATTTATTTTTTGTGTCCTTACTTTATAAATAACTTTCCTCAGGATTTGGGATTCAAATAAACACAAATTTCCTGAGAAATGCTAGGAATGTTTTCCCTTATGTAAATGCTACTTTATTCAGAAATTATCTGCTTTGTGTCCCACGGTGAACAGCATCCATTGGGAGAATTACATCTCAGCAATAATCATCCTATTTTTTCAGCCTATATCCCAATTTCTAGAGCTACCTGGTATTGCCGGTTCTTGGCTTTTTTGAGGATTTATAAGGCAAATATGATTGGTTTCAGTTTTTCCCTCTGCCAACTTAGGTTGACCATGAGTCTTGGGAATCTAAATTAACTTCCACTCATTCTTGGGCTATTTAGTTTTCTAAATTGTATTGCTATTGTCTCCTTTCCTGAAGTTCTTGTCCTTTTGGGTTTTCACTATAGTTTTAGCAGGATTTCAATAGTGAGCAAGATGAGAAAAGTCAATGTACCATCTTTTTACATAGATTTAAGAGTCAAATATTAATTCTTAGTAAACTGTCCAGTTTTTCTGAAGTGAAAATTCAAAGCAATTGTTTTCCAACTGATAAGAAGCATCACAATATTTACTGACTTTATTGAGGTGACACTGGTTCATAAAATTATATAGGTTTCAAGTGTACAATTCTGTAATACATTATCTCTATATTGTATTGTGTGTTCACTACCCAAAGTCTCCCTCCGTCACCATTTATCCCCTCTTTAACCTCTTCTACCTGCCCCCACCAAGTCAATCTACCATCTCAATCCCAAAGGAGTTGTTAAAACAAGTATCTTAAGTGATTCAGATACAGGTGGTCCCAAAATCACACCGTCAAACACGGAACTAGTGGATCATCAGTAGAAAGTGCCCCGAATAGTAAACATAACTATAAATAGTAAAAGAAGCTGAGGAGTTTAAAAGAAAATTCTGGGAGCTACCACAGCTACTTCATTAGCGAAGAGGTTAATGGGGTAAGAGAAGTTAGGCTTGTTCTCTATGCTTCCACAGAAAATGAGAGCCAGTATGTGGAACTGCAGGCCAGAGATTAGGTAAAATTGAGAAGAATTTCTTAGCAGACAAAACTCTCCCAAGAAGGAAGGAATGAGCTGCCTTGGGAACCAACAGACTCAAGAACAGGCTGCACAGCATCTAAGCCCTGGATAGTTTTGCGGTCCAACTAGTTGCTGAGGCAATGTTAACACATGAAAAACAAAATTAACAAATAATTAAATGCTAGATGGGTGATATTATAGAAGTAAAGTCATTTTAGGCATACTGAGTGAAAGCTACCAAATATAAAGGTAATAACTGCCTGGTCCTAAATTTTCTTTTCTCGGTTGGAATATAATTTTGGTCCACACAGACCACACTCGTGTGCATTTATCCCTTGATTTACTATGAGCAGCTGAAAAGTGATGAGTTCCTGCTATGAAAATGTCCCTCAGAGCCACAAACTTAATTATTAAGCATCTTGTCCTCACCTAAAGTACATGTTGGCTTAAAAACAGGTCTCCTGGCATCTATTCTCCTCACCTCCTCCAATCAAGGAACAGAGAGGACACCAGATAGGATGGAGCAAGTGAGCAGGGAAGAAGAGACAAGATATGAGGCTTTAGCAGAAAGCAGTGAGGCCATATCACAGGTTGGAAGAAGGGAGGAATGTGGTGGGTTAAGTTAAATATTTCAGGCTTATTTTAAGTATTATGGTAAATAGTAGAAGAGTTTCAAGCAGCAAATCAACATGATCAGATTTTATATCTTTTTTTTTTAATATATTTTTATTGATTTCAGAGAGGAAGGGAGAGGGAGTGAGAGAGATAGAAACATCAATGATGAGAATCATCGATTGGTTGCCTCCTGCACACCCCACACTGGGGACTGAGCCCACAACTCAGGCATATGCCCTGACCCCGGAAATCTAACCGTGACCTCCTGGTTCATAGGTCAACTCTCAACTACTGAGCTATGCTGGTAGGGCAGATTTTATATCTTTTAAAATAGCTTTTAAAAGGGAACCCTTGTGTGGTGTTGGTGGAAATGCAGATTGATGCAGCAACTGTGGAAAGCAGTATGGAGTTACCTTAAAAAACTAAAAATGGAACTGCTTTATGACCCAGAAATTCCACTTCTGGGAATTTATCTGAAGAAACCCATAACACTAATTCAGACGAATATAAGCACCCCTATTTTCACTGCAGCATTATTTACAATAGCCAAGATATGGAAGCAGCCCAAGTGCCCATCAGGAGATGAATGGATAAAATAGCTAAGGTACATTTACACAATGAAATACTACTCAGCTATAAAAAGGATGGACCTGGAGAACATTATGTTAAGTGAAATAAATAAGCCAGTCAGAGAAAGACAAATACCATATGATTTCACTCATATGTAAAATTTAATTAACAAAGTGAACTAACAAGCAAAACAGAAACCAACTCATAGACAGACTCAACAGGCATAGCTCTGTTGGGGGCGGGGGGAGGGGAGCTATTGTGGGGGTGAAGAGATTAAGAAAAGAACTCATGGACAGCAATGCAGTGATTGCAGGGTAGAGGGGGGAAGGGGAAGTAGAAGAGGGTATGAGGGAATAAGAGATGATAGGTAAAAAATAAAATAGATTTTATATGAAAAATAAAATGGAGGTAATAATACTTTTCGGTAGACCAATTAGGAAGCAGTATCCAGAGAGATGATGGTAGTTTGAACTAGGGTGATAGAGGAAGAAATGAGATGACATTTGAGAAACTCTAAGAGGAAGAATAAAGAAAATGTTGAAAGGTCCTAAAGATGGTCAGAGACAGTTTTCATGCGCATCTGGATAAATGGTGGTTCCAGTTCCCAGGGAGGTAGATACTGTCAAATGTAACGCACTACAAGTGTAAGGAAAAGGGGAGTCCTTTTTTGGGTGCGTTATGTTTGAAAACTTATGAGTTATCTAAGTGTTCATGTCTCACAAGCCCCACATCATTTCCCACTGAATATCTCCATTAAAGCTTCAAACTCAGGATATGACATTCGACATCTGTATCTTTCTTCTGCATCTGCTCCATTTGCTGATTAATTAATGCCACCAATTTTGAGGAATGACAGACGAGCTTCCTACATGTGATAGAAAAAGCTGGAATATAAAATAACTTAAGTCTCACTAGTAAGATTCTATGACTTATGAATTTATTCTTAAAACTAGAGTTATTCGCACCACAAAGGTTAACCTTAAGTAAAGAGTTAACTCATAACTCTGCAAATATTTAAAAACATTTGAAAATAAATACATAAGTATTACGGGTACTTTTATCCACAACTTGTTTGCTAGGAATATTACAAGAATAAGAGAGATTTTGGAAAGGATCCAAGTAAATATATTCAATAGTTAATGTTAACTCTTAATTAACTGTCCTGGTTTTCGGAAGTGAAAACTTAAAGTAATTACTTTCAGCCAACAACAAGCATCACAATCTTTATTAATGTCCTACTATAGCACAACATTGCCACCTGTTAGAAGATATCACTACAAAAATAGTTTTATTTCTGAGAAAGTTTGTGAGTTTCTGAAAGAAAACAGACTAATGGTTGCCAGAGGGGAGAGGAATTAGGGATCTAGATGAAAAAGATGAAGGGATTGAGAAATACAGCTCAGTAGTTACACAGTTATGTGGATGTAAAGTACAGCATAGGGAATATAGTCAATACTGTAATAACTATGTACTTGTATAGGGCCACTTGTGTACTGGAAATATCAGGGGGAACACTTTATAAAATATGATTGTCTAACTATTATGTTATACACCTGAAACTAATACAAAATAAATTGAATGTAAATTGTAATTGAAAAAAATTTTTTAAAGACAAAGTTGATTTTGTCCTTTCTAGCCCATTACACTTGGATAAAACCATTAGTATACAGAAAAGAAATAAATTCAACTTCACCAATTTCCACAATTAGAAACCACAACATAATATTTACTTTTTGGTTTTGATTACGTGATTGAGGGAAAGATGTGACCATGAAAAGACAGCATGAGAGTTTTTGAGATGACGTATATCTGATTATATTGATGGTTACACAAAGCTATACATGTGTTAAAATTCATAGAACTGTAAACCAAAAGGCAAAATAGTCAAATTTACTGTATTACAATATTTTTCAAAAACATACTCAATAAGAGGATAAAAAGTGCCATATAAATATCTGGTTGATTTCAGAGAGAGGGAGAGAGAGGGAAAGATAGAAA